TAGATCTAGACCTAGGCCACAGGTCTAGAAGAATCTAGTTCTACCCTGAGCCAAGAGGGTGCTGAAACTTTCCGAAATTACAAAAGAGTTCCCCTACCGGGTCTGTATACTTTGTGACTTTATTCCCGGTTACCGGGTCTGTATACACTCCCTAATTTTAAAGCATTGTCACACACATCAGAATGATTAAGTACCCCGATAGGTGGATGGTTGGACGGCGTCAGTGATACGTCCCACCGGGACTTTCCCTCCCGTTTCACTTTACTGTCTCTCTGTTGTTTCTGTCAATCTATTTAATTTTTACTTTCCCCCCAAACTAAATGGTCGTCATTATGTAACGTGTCGATGTGTTTCCCTTTACTCGAACCTTCACCTTAATTATCCCGTTGTCTGGCTGACCCCTGGGGGCACAATTGCAGATTTGCAACCTGCTTCTTTCACTCCTCGTGTTCCTCGGCTTTCCGTAGTATAACATCTTGCTCATATAAGATAAATGCCCAAGTAATTTTTTGACATTTTGAGAAAATGAGAGAAAAAAACCTGTTTCTTTCGAACAACTGACTTGGTTAAACGCTTGAATTTTGGTACACTCAGTTGATTTTGTATTTGGATTATTCTTTTGTCCAATTGAATCATATTACCAAGCTGGCTCCGCTCTTCATTTCAGAACCAAAACTCCAAACCGGCCAAAAATGACTTAAGCAATTATTTTATGAGCGTAACGATGGTGTTCCAGTCACCCATCGTTTCTTCTGTCTGTCTCTTCGTCTCCCTCCTTGTGGTGTTCCTTGTAGGATCTTCTTGGCCAGTCCAGATGACCGTGTGATGTGGCGATGTGGCTCAGGTACACATCACACAATCTCATTATTCGAACAAACAAAAATTAGAAATTGAATGTTCAAATTGTTTCTATATTAACGTTGCATATCCCAGTGCGTTCTCTCAATCATGATATCAACACACATGGAATATAATATTCATTATGGCTTTTCTGATAACCTTTCATCCAGGATTACACAAGTGCTGTGAACGCTAACAACGGACCCAGAGTGGGCGACAAAGGTCAAGGCCTGACGGATACCTCCAGAGGATGTTCCAAATGTGGCCAATGTCCAGGACTAAGTGTGCATTATTGGAGGTGAGCTTTGCGTGTGTGCGTGGGTGTGTGTGTGTGTATGTGTGTATGGGTAATGTGTGTGTACCACTCTCTGTGCCTCTCTCGTTCTCTGTCTGTCTGTCTGTCTGTCTGTCTGTCTGTCTGTCTGTCTGTCTGTCTGTCTGTGTCTGTCTCTCTCTCTCTGTGCACGGGCGTGTGCGTGCGTGCTTTCTGTTTGTTTCTACTCTTTGCGGGTGGTTGGAATGGAGAGCAGCTCTGTTGTTTCTGTCTATCTGTTATTTTTTCCTTACACTGAATGGACTTTATTGTGTCAATGCGCTTCTCATAGCCCAAAAAGTTCCCTACTGCTTGCGCGTCCTTCTACTAATCGAGCATTGTATGGTGACTTTGATGTTGTAAGAAATGAGGTCTTCGTTTTCTTGGATCTCTCTGAATGTGGTCTTTATTTTGACACGCAGAAAAGGTCCTCGCCCAAAATCATATTTTATTATTTCCACCAAACTATACCAGTATTTCTCGTGGGTTTTTCAAGAATAATAAAGCTCTAATTTCTGATGAGTTTGCTCTTCGTGATGTTTGCGATGTAAGAGGTTTCAATTTTCTTCTTGTTTTGATTGTTTGTTTTGGGGTTTACCCTCTTACACCTTTATTTATTATCATTTTTTCTGTGCTCCGAAACTGAACTCGTAAAATGACGTTATTGTGACTCTAAAAACAAAACAAAACCGAAGAAACAAATGCCGACGAACATGGTCACCCTGGCCTTGGTCAGTGCACCCTGGTGTGTTTTTTCCCTCTCACTATATCCGCCCCCCCCCTCTCTCTCCCCCTCAATCCCCCTCTTCTCTTTTTTATTCGTTTTTATTCAAAGCCAATATGGTGGTTGAATCCAGTCCGCGTGTCCAAGAGTTCATCTATACTAGATCTATGTTTTACGCGTATTTCATTAGTGTGGTCTCAGACAGCTCGCTGACATTCTCTGTAACAGAAAGGAGATCTGTGTAATTAGTTCCGAGTGTCAATGTTACCCTTTTTGCCTGGGACCAGGACACAGTTTCCGCCCTCTAATGTAGCTGTAGTGTGTGACTCCAGTGCTTGCCCTTTTACCCATGGCCTTCCTTTATTCGTTTGGGCTATCAGGATGAGATCGTTTCATGGCTGTTATATTCTCTACGAAACTGTGAAATTGTATAGAGGTCTAATGCCCTTTTCAACACTAAGATTACAGCCGGGACCTCCGAATTTAACGTCCATCTCCCATACCACCGAGCCGAAATATATGGGTGGAGAGCCTTTTAAAATCTCTCCAAATCAACCCAAGTTCAATATGCCTATTTTGGCAATTCGAACCAGGTTCAGCCGCTCCGTAGTCCAGCATGATACTAACAGGGCTAACGGAGCACTCTCTGCCTTTCTGTAGCTTTGTCCTTATTTGCATACCTTGTGTTCTCGTCTTCTATTTGTTTAATTGATGTAATTTTTCATCAGCTACTGTCGGAAAGCTTTGTGTGTATGTGTTTGTGTGTGTGTGTGTGTGTGTGTGTGTGTGTGTGTGTGTGTGTGTGTGTGT